GGAAACGTACTGGGAGCCAATGCAGATCTCTCAGGACCGGTGTTATGTGGTCCCGGCGGCCACCACCAGTCTAGCTGCCGCATTCTGGATTAATTGCAGTTTCCGGGTCGCCTTCAAAGGTAGCCCCATGTAGAGCGCATTGAACTCTTTATATAGTCTATACGGAACATTAAGAAACCAAATAAACAGAAATCTTATAAATCTCTGAAAGTCACTCAATGTGCACTCTTGATGGATTCTCTTGAAAACATAGAACCAAATAAACATAAGTCTTATAAGTCTCTGAAAGTCTTTGTAAGTCTCTGAAAGAAGCAGTGGGTCAGATTCTTATCTGATGAAAACAAGCAGTAAAGCTTTGTTTTATAACGTCCAACACTGCCGAAGTGGTCCGCAAACAGATGTAGTGATGAGTGATTCCGGATATACCAACTGTTCTGTAGAATTCTTCTTCAGCACAGCAGAAGGATACAGAAATGCTTCCTAAACCCATCTATATGGTGAATGGAATTATATAACAACGATATCTATGGAGCAGTGGCCATGAGCAGTTTCAGAAAATAAGAATCCTGCAGCTGGATCGAGCCAAAGGTTCCATCCTTCTGAGATGCCATGGGAAGCAGGACATGGAATGCAGCAGCTCCTATGGCTTCCAGCAATGGGTATGCAGAACCATTCGCTGCCTCTGCCCATGGAAGTAGAGCAGAGCCATTGTGGAGACGGGCTTGCTCCACATCTGTTAGTGCAGCCTCAAGTGGCACCTGCTGTTTATGCAGTCACACCTCACTGCTGGGCTCAACCGAGAACCAGCAAAGACACTGGGAATCCTTCTCAGGGCTGCTGCTGCTTCTGCTACCACCAAGGCAGGCCTCCCTCATCCCAGGCTGGGGCCCTTCACTTTTTTGGTACCTAAATGCAGGACTTCACTTAATTTATCTCTGTTGTATGGCACCTTTTCGATTTTGCTCCAGCCTGCTCACCTGATAGGAGCTGCGTGGCACTTCTGAATCTCAGAAGCATCCGCCTCTACAGCCCCAGCCAAAAGCTTGATTAACTATGAACCGCCTAATCTGGCATCCCCTCAAAACAGGTGCCAAAGTTTTGCAATCATTTTGCAGCATTTTCAGCGAAAACCCCACGTTTTGCAGCTCCCCACAGATGCAGTAATTGATGCATCAAAACAGGGCTAATGGCTCCAAACCCAACGTTGCCCGATTCGCTCCAAACCGGTGCCAAACTTTGGCAAAAGTTTTGCGGTGTTTTGCAGCAAACCCCCCCCCCCGTGTTTTGCAGTGCCCCACAAACAAAGCAATAAGCACTCAAAGCCGGGGATCACAGGGTCACCCAAAAACCAAATGTCATCCAATTCACTCCAAACCGACACCAAACTTTGGGGAAAGTTTTGCAGCAGCGTTTTGCAGCGAAAACCCCACAAACAGAACAACAGACACTCAAAATGAGGGTCATGGGTATTACCCAAAAACCCAACGTCTGATTCTCTCCAAACCAGCACCAAAGATTTTAATCAACAGGACCTGAACGAATTACAGAAGCTTGCCAACATACCCAAGAAGACTTGAGACCAGAATGATTGGTAACAGTTAATATTTATAAATAATATAAATATAAATATAAATATAAATATAAATATAAATATAAAAACATCTATGAAACCTGCAATCAGAATAATTCAACCAAATAACCAAAACCAATGTGATGCCATTTGGGGGGTCTCTGCGGAACACAGTTTTTTGGCCACGAAAGGCTTCTGCAGGGCATTCCTCAAGGTTTAGCGCCGTTTAGGGGTGAATCGGATGGTGATGGTTTTGGGGGGATGCCGTGACCCCCGCAAATTATGTTGCCAAAGAAAACGTTTCGGGGTCTCTGTGGAATGATGTTTATTGGCTGCAAAAGGCTTTTGTGGGGCTTGTACTGATGTTTGGCACCATTTTGGAGTGAAATGACTGATGCCTTTTTTTAAAAAAACCATGATTCCGTGGGTTAGGGTGCTGAAGACATTGTTTTGGTAGTCTCTGCAGAAGACGGTATTTTAGCTGCAAAAGGCTTCTCTGGGCTGTTTCCCAAGGTTTCACACCATTTTGGACTGGATTCATCTACAGTTGGGTGCCAGATGCCATATTGAATTAATATGGTGGACCAAACTAACTGTAGTTAAATATTCACTCCCACCCCCACCAATTAATTTGGGGCTGGATCAGGTGCTCCCTGGGTCAGGTCAGAGCTGTAGGTTCACACAGCCCTAAAATTAACAAATAACACTATCCATTTTAAAATCACAGTATTTTTTAGGCTTCTTCAACTTCCAGGGCTGCACCGGAAATTTCCTGCTTGTAAAATGTATGTTAAATATGTACTATATACTGTACAATTAACAAAATCATATATAAAATGTATTATTGTAATACATGTATTACATGTATTACATGTAATGTAATGTAAAATATAAGATATTTTATATACAGTAATAATATATTAAATGTAATAAAACAATGTACGTAATAGTGTAACTGCAGCCTCTTTTCCTACCCACTGCTGCCACCTGGTGGCATAATAGTATAAATGCAGCCTCTTTCTGTGAACTCCTGCCATCTGGTGATATAGAAGTAAAGGGACCCCTGACTGTTAAGTCCAGTCGTGGACGACTCTGGAGTTGCGGCGCTCATCTCACTTTACTGGCCGAGGGAGCCAGCATTTGTCTGCAGACAGCTTCTGGATTACATGTGGCCAGCATGACTAAGCCACTTCTGGCGAACCAGAGCAGCGCACAGAAACGCCATTTACCTTCTCGCCAGAGCGGTACCTATTTATCTACTTGCACTTTGACATGCTTTCAAACTGCTAGGTTGGCAGGAGCAGGGACCGAGCAATGGGAGCTCACCCTTTCGCGGGGATTTGAACTGCTGACCTTCTGATTGGCAAGCCCTAGGCTCTGTGGCTTAGACCACAGTGCCACCCGCACCCCAGTATAGCTGCAGCTTATTTAAAGCCACTGCTTGAACTGTTCAAGCTCATAGCTTGGAGGTGCTGCTTGATCTGGTCCTCCTGTTGCGGTTGTAGGTGGCATCAGTGGCAAGGGGACCTTTTCCCATCATGAGCTATGACTTACCCTGACCAAATTGGACCTTGACATCATAATGCATGTCCTAGTGACCCTGAGATTAGACTAGTGTTTCCCCATCTTTTCCTGACTGTGACCCCCTTCCGACCTTGTTTCCTTCCTGTGGCCCCTCCATGATTGTAGCTGGGGGGGGCAGGGGGGCAGCTGCAGCATATTTTAAATATTAAATGAAATAATAACATAAAATAAAATCT